CAACCACGAGTGTCAGGAACTTTTTTCTCGTTGTAAGTACTAACGTTAGAGATTTCCTCATCGGTAGGAAATTTATCTAAATCTGCTTCGGTCTCAATTCTTTTGACAATAAATTCATGAACTTTATCTACTTCTTCAGCCAAATGTTTTAGAGTTTCAATTTGTTTAGTAGTTTCAGGGTATGGTTTTCCCATTACTAAAGTATCGGTAGTATAAGTTTCAATTATCTTATCATTATTGATTAAACCATTTGGGCTATTGTATCAACCATTATTATAAATTAATTTGGCTACTTCTATACTTAAACTGCTTTTTCTCCAATTATCTTTTCATTCCTCTTTGATATTTTTTAAAAGGTCATGGTTATTGAAAAAGTCTTCTCAAGCTTCTTTTCTTCTCTTTCCAGGAATGGCTTTTAAAACTATTTCAATATCTTGGGGAGTTTTGGCTAAATGAATTTCATTCTTTTCATTATCAGTAAAATCTCCTCCTACTAATTCCTTGCCCCTTAATTTGGCTTGTTTATAAACATTTTCAGCCGCTTTGGGATTACCCGGAAACTGATCCATTCATAATTTCTGTTGGGAAGTATCAGAAATAAAATGCTCGGTGTCAAAAAAACCATCTCACTCTTCAATGGCTCGAATTTTCTTTTGTTCTTGAGCTTGCATCATAGCAATCTCTTCATCACTTCGATAACATCCCTCTCTCCCTTGCGGAACTGGATTTTTTTCATTGGCTTCATCAGGATAAAATTTACCCTCTCCAAAAATATTGCGAACTTTTTTTAAAATTATTCCTTTGGCTTCTAATTCTTCAACTACCGCTTTAACTACTTCAGGTTTAACTTGATAAACTCCATCTTGGAACTTTTCAGTGCCACCTAATTTAGTTTCAATAGTTTTAATATTTTCTTTGTTACTTTCTTCTCAATTTTTATAAGGAGTAAGAGATTTGTTAATGTTTTCTACTATAAATTCAGTGTCTCCTTTATATTTACCCTCCACTACATTTTTTTCGCCTAAAACCCCTTTTAAATTGCTAAGGTCTTGTTTTTTATTTCAACCACCAGTATATTCTCCATTAGTAAAGTTCTCTGGTTTGAATACTTTATGAATATTAGCAGTATCTTGCTCAGCATTTCAACCTCCTTGATATTTACCATTCTTAATATTTTCTTTTCCGAAGAGTTCATTAATTACTTCAATAGTTACTTCTTTACCACCTTTATATTTACCATTCACTAAATTCTTTCTTCCAAAAACTTCTTCTAAATAACTTAAAACTTCTTCTTTGTTTAATCCTCCTTGGTAAAAACCATTTTTGAAGTTTTCTTCACCAAAAGCCTTTTTAATCGATTTAAAAATTTCCTTTTTTATAAAATCTTTGGTTTGAGTATCATCTCCGATACTTTTTGCTTTTACCTCGCTGAGAGCACTCTTTATTCTAGTTTCGAGTAGTTGCCGACTGACATTCATACTTTTTTTTTAGAAGTCATTTATTTTGCTCTCAAATTTCTTAAAGTTCTTGCTATTGCTTATAAAAAAAGTAAGATTTGAATAGAGCGGTTTACAACAGAATATATGGAAGACAATAACAATTCCGAACCAGTAGAAAAAGAGGAAATAAAATCGCAAGACTTAGAAGAAGATCAAATTCCGGCAACCGAAACTAATCAAAATGAAGAAACTGATCCTAATTTAATTAAAAAAGAGGAGGAAGTTGAGACCGAAACTGTAACTGAGACTAAAAACGAAGAACCTAAAGAAGACCTTTCAATTACTCCCGAGCAAGTAAAAGCCCATGCTGATGAAATTGTTCAAGAAACCGAGGAAATTAATGAGAAAGTAGAAACAAACATTGAAAATAAAGAAGAAACTCAAAAAAGCGAGGTTGAACAAGTTGAACAAAAAGAGGATAATAAAAGCGAGGAAAACAAAGAAGAAGAAATTGCAGAAACAAAAGCGGAAGTTTCAGAACCGCAAGAACCTCAAGTGGAGATAAAAATTGAAGAAAAAGAAGTTGTCGAGGAAGAGGAAGCGGAAGTTTTAAGAGAGCAAGAACCTAAACCCCAGATAGATATAAAAACCGAAGAGGTGCAAATTGAAGAGGAACATTCAGAAAAAATAAAAAAACTGGTCAATAAAATCCAACAAACATTAGAACAAGAAATTGTTGATAATTTAATAATTAATAAATATCTAAATGAAATAAAGGAATTAGAAGGAGACTTGCAAAAAGATGAAGAAGTTGAGACCGAAGAAAATAAAAAACTGTGAGAAGAGTTGGGGATAACAGAGGATGCTAATCGAAAAGCGGTTGTTCAAGAGGTTAAAAGACTGAGTGAATTATTCGCTACCGAACATGACCGAAAAATAAAAATTTACTTTGCTACTGAAACAGCACCCCAAGACAAATTAGGCGACAAAGAAAGTATAGGCATTGTACCAGAAAATAAAGAAGAGGGGCATAATATTTACTTGAACTTAGAAAGAAAAGATAAATTGAGCAATTTTTATCCTAATTTAATCTTTTGAAATTTTGCTAAAGAGATAACTTTGATTGATAATCCTAAATTTGAAAAAGATCCTTATTTTTGAAACCATTTTTACCAAAACTTAGAATGAATAAAAAAAAATGCTAGCAAAGATTACCGAAAAGATTGGGAATTGTTATTAAAACCTTCTACCTTTCCATCTGAGAGTCTAGCAATAAAGGAAATGTTTAATATATCTTTCCCTAGTTCAGAAACCGAAACCGAATTATTAGATATTTCAAATGCAGTTAGTCGAGAGTTAATTGATCAAGTTTGAAAAAAAATTAGCGAAACAACTATAGAGTTAGTTAACCAAACTGAAATCGACAACTTAGATGAAGAACAACTTGCTAAATCGGCAATTAAACTTATGATTGACTATGATCTTGCTAGTGATAAAGAATATGCTATTCAAGTAAGTTATCATTCTGAAAGTCCATTCAGAAAACAATTAGAAAAGTTGGTAGTTACTACCCCTTTAGAATTAGAAATAGAAACTTTAAGAGAAGTTAAAATCAGTCCCAAAGACTTTGCTAAACTAACAAAGCAAAAGAAGGGATTGGAAAACTCTCTTCGTGATTCAGTTAGTGGAGAGGAATATCAAGAAATTTTAGAAAAAATAAACCAAATTAATTAAAACTATGGCAAAATTTAACGCTCAGGAATGAATAAATAAAAACTTAACCGACAAAAACATTGTTGAAATAAAACTAAGTCCTTTAACCGAGGAAGAGAATTGAGAAAAAGAAACAATTGCTGTAGCCGGAACTCTAACCGGTGATTTAATTGTTGAGAATTATGTTCAGTTAGAAGAATTGGATTTATCCGAACATGAATTAACTTCTTTAACTATTATCAATTGCCCTGAATTAAGAAAAATAAATGCTCGCAATAATCAAATTACTCAGTTAGATATTAATCGAACTAAACTTAATGAAGAAAATGAACCAATTAATAATAAAGTTAGAGAAATAATATT